AAGATAAATGATCTCATAAGAGCAATCATAAGCAAAAGTGGTTGGTGCATTTCCTATCACTAATGCTCCTGTTCACCCAGCAGTAAATAAGTACCCAAGAGTGCCTGGGTATTCCTGGGCATCTGTAAATCATTGTAGCTTATAAATCATTGTCCTAATAATGATCAACTGTACATTCACTCATCTCATACAGTTCATTACATCATGGAGATCCAGTGCTGCCACTCTCCAGGAAACTACACAGCACCAGCACTTACCTGCTCGATAAGGAATGAATTAAATGTCACAAAAAAGTATGTCAACATAATTTATTTACTTATCATGCCATACAACATGAGCGTACATACACAGTAACAATGTCCAGGTTGAACTGTACTGTTTAGCTAGATAACTACTGACTACACGTAAACTGGCGAGCGGCAGAAGGGGCGCTGTGTTCACTCCAGGGAAAATGGATGCCAAGTTTCTAATCACAGAAAACAGTCCCAGTAATCAAAGAAACTGGGTAATACCAGAATTCATAAAAAAAGGGTGCCAATTGCTAACATTCTTGCAGCTATGACCACACTGTACTATCACTGCTAAAATCACATTGCAAAATACTATATACAAAGAATTAATGGAGGATACTATACACTTTAAAAGAAGCTCATCATATACACATATTCAGTAGTTACTACTTATGATGTGTTTTGAATGTTGCTTTATTTTCACCTGAAGTGAACAGAGCAGCAATACTTTACATAAAACCAGCAACCTGCCCTTATGGAGTTGCATCCCATTAATTTCTTTTAGTGCATTATAGCACTTTCAAATAAATTTGGATTATTCTAAAATAAGTGACATCTAATAATAAAAAAAATGAAGAAAAAAAGGTAGAACTGACTTCACTGAAGAAAGTATTGTGCAAGCATAAAATCTGAAAGAAAATGTAAGCAGTACAATGCTGGGCCACGCTATGTCACTGGGGTACTAAGATCCTCGCCTATGTAATCTTAACTCCTATTTGGTGATCTAGAAAATGGGCTGCTGTTAAAAATGTCACACTTATTATTTTACCTTTGAGCACCATTCTATGAAAGTCACAATAGCATAGCTAATCATGTTTATTTTCCTTATATTGCATTTCCATAGAAATTTGTATTCTTCCTTAACAAGGCAAGAATGAAAATCATGTTATATGAAAATTTGCTTCAACATATTACAATAAGATAATATCTTAATTGTGTTAACAAACGTGTATCTTTAAATAGCTTGTCAAATCGAAGTATAAATATATATATATATATATTTTTGTTTGTTCAGGAGTTAAAAGTGTATGTGTATTTATATGCATGTATGTAATTACCTAAATGTGAGAGAGTATGTGTGTATGTGCATGTCTGTGTGTAATATATTCTGCGTATTGGTACTACCTAAATCGGATGAAAATTGGCTGATACTTTCATGGACTGGTCTATGTAGTCAATATATTTTAGGAAAATTTAGAATTATATAAGGAACGGTTTAGATTTAATTGTTATTTTAAATGTTGGGTTTTTAATTTTTAATCTTAAATGTTAAATTTAATTTTGTTAAAGATATGTATATTTGACTGTAAATATTTTGATTTTTTATAAACTTTAAAGGGAAACTGACCTATATACGTAGTACACAACGCACACAAACACATATGAACATACACACATTCACATGGAATAATTGCAGGCTTAGTGAATATTTTCTTGGTGCCATGGTTATAATACCTGAGGCTGCAGGCAACACAATTTTATAGAATGAATCTAAACTAAATCAAAGAAAGGTTATGGGAGGTTGAGGCTAACTTCTGCCTCTCTTACTTTGGCTCTTTATTCAGGTACAGCTCAACTTCAGCTTTATATAAGGTTGTACGAGAGTGTATGCAACTCGATAATTTTTGTTATGTAACGATTGTCCAATTCACTCTAGTAAACAGAGACTAGTTAATATGTGATCTAATCAATCAGAGTCATACATGAAAATATGGTGGGTAAAACCAAGAACAACTTAAACCTAGGTATGGCAGTGATACTGACTAAAAGATCGGCACAATGAACACCAGGCAGCATCAAACAACCTTTAACAAAATAGTCTTTGCATTTTGGGATATTTTGTAATTAAGATAATCAAGTCCAGAGTACAGCTAAAAAAAAATATAGCAAAATGCCCATCAATACTAACATTTCAAAACATATACTTAAGTAAATCTGCAAAATTTATATAAAACAGAATAGTAGTGAACACAAAACAATGTAAGTTGTTGATTTGTTTCCACATGTCAGTTTTCTATTTAAATTAAAAAATTTAAATTTTTTGCTGTTGAGTCTTAGCAGTTTCTAGAATTTTAGGCAGTGAAGGAAATATAAATAGAAAATATATGAAAATAAAAACCACTGCTTACAACAAATGCATAATATTCCAGGTTATATTGCACCTGCACTTGAAATATGTTGACATATCTACATTTGTTTACCAGTTTTGTTACTTGGTCTTTTCAGAAATTATATATATATATATATATATATATATATATATATATATATATATATATATATATATATATATATATATATATATATATATATAATGGGAAAATTATTAAAGGAATATTTTGTAAGCTGCTTATATACAACTGAAAAATATTGAACATATCACTGGTACAGTATATCAGTAACACAATATTCAACAGATGACAGAACTAAGAGAATAAAGGCAGTTAATAAAACAATATGAGATAAGGAAACTACAGGAATATAAATCAGATGAGAATAGAAAAACAATATCCATAGAGAAGGATATGGTAGAAACAACAAAGCAGAAAATAGAAGAGAGTGCAGTAGATACAGTACAGAAAGAAGTTGCTTAATGGGAAACGATTAATCGTACACGAGAGATAAAACAAAGAAAACTGATAGCATGAGACTAAAGTTATGAATGTATTATAATGAAACGCAGGAGAAGAAAGATGAAACGTCTATGGACAGCAAATTTTATAGTAAATATTATGAAGAAAAACAAAAAGCATTATGTAATGGAAATTGAAGCATATTGTGAAATGAAAGAACACTACAGAAACAAGTGAAAGAATTAACTTGATGATAGGTAGAGATAAAAGTAATTGTTATTGAAAACTACTCTTTCAGGGCAGGTTATTTCCTCCATATTTCAAGACTGAACTAGCACTGCTGTCAACTTCACCATGAGGAACAAAAACTGACCTTCAGGTAGATAAAAGACTGATGGGACTTATGCCAGACAAAACAACAATCACCGGTGTAAACAAAAATTTGATAATTATCTAAGGCAATTTTCCAACAGTATAACATAACAAAATTGCATAACACACACATTTTTTTTACACATGTAAATAATCACACTGCAGTTACTAACGTCCAGAAAATAAATCATTTATATAACACCTCAAGATTCATAAATGATAAAGAAGTCTGTCAAACTTTCACAATCAAATAAGAGCTAAACCTTAAAGAGTACTGACCAGAAGCAATAATTAGAGTTTAACATTTTATACAGAGAAATATAGGCTAATGAAGATGAATGGTTTCATTACATTATGGTCAACATGGCTCCAACTCCACACACCCACTCTTACCTCTTATGTCTATAGTGGGGGCAAATATCAACTTGAACCCCTGAGGCAATTAGATGGGGTAACTTAATAATGATGATACACAGGAAAAAAATTACTATCAATGATACCTAGACTAATTATTTAAATATGATATAGGCCTACATGAATATTTGAAGAAATGATGAGATGAAACAGTCCACAGGTATGAATCAAAAGAATCACTTCAAATGAAAAAATAAGACTAGTCACACAGTTGTTTTTCAAACAATTCTTATATTCATTTCTAAAAAAAAGGTTTCAATATAGCAAGAAAGGAATGTCTAAACTATGAGAACTGTACTGTACAATATAGGAAACCAAGTAAACTGGCAGTGTTGTATAATGCTGTATATATATGACTAAGTTTATTAATGGTGCTTAGTGGAATTTATTTTGAAAAAAAAAAAATGAAGTTAAATGATGATGTATATGTGTATAAATATATATATATCACAACTAATAGCCAGAACTGCAGTACTTGGCCTAGTATGCAAGGCTTGATATGCCTAACAGGCCGAATGATTTTTGTTACTTTCAAATATATCTTTCCAGATTGGTTCTTTTCGAACAATAATAATCTATTATATTAGGAACATGAATTACACTCTTAGTTGTATTAGGTTATGTTAGGTTAGGATAGGTTTGGATAGATTAGGTTTAATCAAATTTCCGTGTTAGAATTAACTCAAATAACATAAAACTGCAATCATATATAATACCCTGTACAATAAAAATTTTATAATTTTTTTTAAATTAAATATTTTATGAAAATTTGGTTGTTATGCAACTCAGGCTATTAGGTATGACATATTATAATATATATATATATATATATATATATATATATATATATATATATATATATATATATATATATATATATATATATATATATATATATATATATATATATATATATATATATATATATATATATATATATATATATATATAAAAATAGCCTAGCCACACTTGCAGAACTAGGGATGTTCTCCTTATAACGTGTTTTTTGTTCATTTCTTATAGTTACCAAAATACTTAATAAAATTAACGTATTATATTGACTACAATAATTACCAACATATTTCGTCCTAATTTTACATATGATAGACAAAGTTAAGAATAATAAGCATATTTAGGTCAAAATGGTAAATTTTAGTTCAAATCTAAAAGCGACATATTTTATTTACCCAAATACTGTATCTCTATCAATACACAGGTGTTATTTGTTGATAAACTTAATTTTAAAGAAAATTGAACTTATTAAGCAATTCTGGCTATTATTACTAAAATGTATACATATTTTCAGTATATACACATACGTGTAAATATACATGCACGCAATATATTTGACAGCTGAGAAGAATAACTTTATTACCAGATATTAAGCAAGAAAATTAAATTACACCAACAGTTAGTAACAGTATTTTGAAAACCAATTAAGGAAGCACCTCTGGAAAATAGATACAGGATGGGAGATATACTTTTTGTGTGTAAGAATCCTTAAGAGCAGGTTTGTAACCAATATGATTGAATGTTAAAAAAAGAAAAGAAGGAAAAAAAAAGAAAATGTACAAGTACAAGATGAACAGGAGGAATCACAAGTTCCTTCTAAAGGTGACAGTCTGATTGTTCCCAAGAGTGAAGGTGATGCAGTGGAGACAGAAATTGTGCTTCATACTTTGCTTGAACGTGTCATATGGGCATTGTAGTTATCACATGAAAGGACTTCTCTAACTACAATACAAAGTTAAGATAATTTTTTGAAACAGAGATCCAATAGGAATATATAAAATTCAACAATTTGCACAGTTCTTGAGACGCAGCATCTGCAGCGTCAGTATAGTGAGTATTACTGGTTATGGCTGCGGCGCCTAGCGAGCCTTTCTCAACTCTCAACACTTGAAAGACTTGTCACTGAATGTCACTTCATTATACACTTACACTATAATGGGACTGATTTTTCATTTACTGTTTGCATTGATAATTGCTTCAAGTTCTGATTCAGATCCCATTAACACACACTTTCCAGTTCTCTACTACGTCGGCGACGTGCCTGTCTTCTTCTGTATTCATTGAATTCCTGTTTCATTGCAGCAACACGTGCCTCCATTGACTCGTGGCGCCGCCGCCCACCTGACCCGTAGATCTCAGAGTCGCTGAGGCCACGCTCGCCTGATGGAACACGGGTTCTTGACCACTCTGCAGCTGCATCCTCCCCAGGTGTGGGACTCAGCACTGTGTCAAACTCATAGTGGTCATCCACACTTATATCTAGTGGCTGCTGTGCAGCCACGGGTACGGTGACGGGTGGAGGTCTTGGAGACACCTTAACTGAGCTACCAGAGTCAACACTAGCATCCAATCCAGTTGATCCAAGCCGTTGTCGCCGTCCTACCATTCCTACCTTTACGGTTGAATGCCGTGGTCCTGTGAGAGAAGGCATACGAAATTGGGGCAACACTTGGCGTGCAGCCCACTCCTCATATGGAGGGGGATGTGGTGGACGCATCCAAGGTGTTGGGCGACCACGAGGAGCTGCTAAGAGCCAGGCAGGTGGAGCTGGTGGTGATAAATCTGGGGCTTCTATAGTTTCTGTGACTTCTGAGGTTTCCAGACGTGATGAATCAAGACCTAATGCTGACAGTGACTGCCCTGACTGTGATGAACTTTGCTGTTGAGATGTATTTTTACTACCAAACCCACTAGATGAGTCAGGAGACTGCTCCTGAGATTGTTCATGTGATTGCTCACGACTTTCTGGAGCACTAATACCACCAGTGTGCCTTGCAGCAGAATGTCGGCTAGAAGTATGTCTAGTCTCTGAACGTCCTGCAGAACTTAATTCTGGGGCACTACTCGTTAGTGGTGCCTCTCCGAAAAGGCCACTACGTACCCGCCCAATGGCCTCCTGCAAACGTTCACGAGTGTATGTCACAGGCTGGTCACTACTGGAATCACTATCTCGTGTCCTACCCACTGCTCTAGGCAAAGGGTCAGGTACTCTGGTCTTTGTACTGGTAGGGGGTGGGGGAGGCAGCGGTCGTGGCCTGGGCATCCCCTGGGCCCTTTGCTGGCCCTGAATAGCACGTGGGCGGGGGGGCGAGCTTGTGGCCAGCGGCTTTTGATTCTCCGAGGAAGAAGGTTTGAGCAAATAGGGGGGGTCCCGCCCCGGTATTCGTTGATAAGCGTCACGTCTCGGAGGAAGGTTTACATAATGGCGTGGGATGTCTGGTATGCGTGGAGGCTGGATATGACCTAGTGCCTCCCGCACCACAAGGCCTTCCCGTACCAGTGGTGGTGAATGTACATGCTGGCCAGACTCCAACACTGTCAGCTCTGGTCGACCAGTTTGATGTGTAGGATGGCTCACTGGGCGGGTTGTGGGCCACACATGTGTGGGGCGGCGAGGAGTAGTCCAGGCTGAGTCCAGTGGAGGATGTGGTGTTGCTGCCCAGGCCTGTAACTGTGGGTGAAAGCGCGATGGAGGAGAATGAACCTGTGCTCCTACTAAAAGGCGACCTGGGTGTAACTGAGAGGTGGACAGTGGTGGCAGTTGACGAGGATAGCGATGAAGCACTCGTACAGCATCTCCATGAGGTGGTGTCATAGTTGCCGAGACCCCATGAGCAGATGGTGTTCCTTGTGCTGAATTAGGGAATGATGAAAGTACGGTGGAGGGAAATGAACGCTCTACACTGGATGGTTGCTGAACACTGCTCACTTCACTGAATGATGCTAATTGTGCCAATTGACTCCATTCTGAACTTAATGGCCCTGGAGAAGATGCTCTAAAACGTCTGGAACGTGGAGACCATACAATGTCACCGGGGCTTTCTGGTATAACATGCCTACCAAACTCTGGAGATACAGGAGATATCTGTGAATCAGGTGCAGTCACTCTTCCAATGGGTCTATCTATTCGTGTACCTCCTGCACGTGGCTCTTCATGTGTACTGGCACCAGAGCCATCTGAGCGTAAACTAAGACGAGGAGGAAGGGGCTGACGGTGATGGAGGCGACTAGCTGTGCCAGCACGTACATGATAAACACCACTCTCTACCCCTACTTCATCTCTAACCCACCTAGAAGAGACTTGCCCTTGATCTACAATTGGTATTCCACCAACACTTCGAGTAGGTCGTCTTGGTGATGTAAAACCACCTTCTTCACTGTCCTTGTCCAGCACAAAACGACCATCAGTAGTGCGGGAAATCCAACTAAGGGGTTGTGAATACTCCAGCTGAACAGAGTATCGGACGTCTCGAGGGAATTGCCGTCCACGCTGTACACCATATTCACGATAATCATCATCTGCAGAACCTCCAGCTGTATCTTGCCCTGTGCTGCTAATGTCCTGAGTTGCAGCACTAGTGTCTAAGGGCCTACTGTCTGTTGAATCTAGGAGTCGGCCTCCGAGCAGAACGCCTGCCACCCATGCCCACTCCCACCTTAAACCTGGTATGCCGCATCGTAGTAACCTGCGCATGCAAGAAAGAATTGTAATCCCAAAATAAAATACAGCTATGATTCTGAAATCAAGCTTATCATGTGGAGAAATGCATTAATATAATGAATGAATTTTAATTATATGTTATTAAAATATATGAAAGTATACTGGGAGAGAAATTAATCAGTAGTACTGAATTATCAAAATTAGCAGTGTAATACTGTATAGAGATGTAGATTGCACTTGTATTACAAGATAAATATCTGAAAATATTAACAGCACATATAAATTTGGCAAGAGTACTTTATCCAAGAAAGTGTTATATTATAATTGTTAAAAATAAAACATAATTTATCTTCATTATGAAATTGTACTAGAATAAAGATATATGTATAAAAGGATTACCATGCCAAGCAGATTATAAGGCATGCTTCACAAGTACAGTGTAAAGAAATAACAAAGGAAATGCTTTAATGCAATACAGTAGTTTAAAAGCATTAGTATGGGGGCAGTTAACAATATTATTGATATTGCTAAAAACTTTTCCTGTTTATTTATTTTAAGAAATTTATGTATGCACAGCCAAAGGGTGTAGGAGCAACTTTTGAAAATAAACAATAAATAATAGTGTACCATGCTGAGTGCACAAGTGCTAAAAGTGCAGAAGCAAGTGTGAAGGAAGAGGAGACTATTAGAAACATACAATAACCTGAAAGAATTGAGCAGTAAGGCATGGAAAGACTTGTTTCCATGTATCTGTTATGGCTCCCTTTGATGGTTTTCTGAGTTATCATCCTGGATAGCTAAAAGCCTAAAATACCCCACCAGGCCCTTATCAGTAAGGAGCACCTCCTGGGGACCAGGATCAGGATCTGGGCCCCCTCAATAAAGGCTAGGGGTGTCTGAGGATACAAGATCAACCCAAGTGCACTTGCTTCGGTTTCTATTGCAGGACCAGAAGCTAGCCTCGTTAATGGCTCCGGCCTCATTTGTGTTTGGGTCCATTTCTTCCATTTGGTTATGGCATGGGGTTCCTTCCCCATTTTTGGCTTGCAGACAATACCATTTTGTTTTCATAGTTTTTTCTATTTCCAGGTGGTTAACACTTTGGTGCACCCCGCTCGCCACCCCTCAACTGTGCGATATGGGACCCAGGGTGTCACGGGAGTGCGCGTAAATTCTGAAAAGTGTATACTCTCTTCAACTTTGTCACCTTAATTCTCGTCCTACGAGATTAAATTTGGTATCATTGTGTTCGCAATAGAATTCTCTACAGCACTAAATGCATATAAACTCCAAAAGCCCGGCTAATTACCCGCAGCAAACAGAGAAAGTGCGAACGAGTTACCCAGGAGCGCGCAAATGCGATAAAATGTTTTCACTATTTTCACTCTGGTCACCTCAATTTTTATCCTAAGTCTTTCATTTTGGTCTCAATGGGTTCGCAATAGAATTCTCTAGAAGAACATTAGCATATAAAATAAAAAACCTGGTCACGCTCCAACCGCCGACGAGTTGAAGACGGGCCACGCGTTAGCCGCGAGTGAGTGCTCAGCCGCCTTCCAGCTACACTCCCAATTCCCGCCCTTTTCAAGCCTTTCTTTCGCAATTTTCTTCCTGGAAGGGCCTTGTTCATGATCACTATCCATCGTGGAGTAAGCGTAGATAGTTTCTAAAGCCGCAGTAAGAAATATAGCCACGGAAAATAGCCGAAATGTTCACACGTTTGAGATGCGAGGGGAGGCGACATTGGTCACAACAGTGGAGCGAAAACAATGGGCCCACGGCATGTGCCAAGCTGCCTGAGGGCCATGAGGCTCAACAAAGTAAATGGGAAGACATCGGCGCGCATTTTAAAACCAGTCCCCCAAAAATCGGATAAAAACCTGATTTTTGGCGATTATTTAAAGTGGATGACGCAATGCTGCGTCATCCCCGGAATTACCGCCAGTAAACGGATGACGCAATGCTGCGCCATGCCCGGGCGAAAGTGTTAACTGGCATAAGGTGGAGCTCTCTCTGCATTCTTTGCTAATATGCCCTGGACACCTGAGCTCAGCATTCCACTTAAATTGATTTTTCAGGTCTCCCTTAGACGATTGTCATGCCCTTTAAGAAGACCTGGACAAAATAAATATATGGCAAAAGAATTTAAACATAATTTTACTTTCCCTTGCCCAACTGAAGACTACTGATATCAGTTTGGAGCTATCCAGGTGGAAAGAGAGCCACCAGATATGGCCATTTCATTACATTCAACACTGGATTTATCTAAACCTCACCTTATTTTAAGATTTTTAGTTATCTCTGTGATCCAACCAGTATAAATGAAGTCTTATATATATTTAGCATATGCTAAATTTCTACAAATTCTGGTGCTGTCTTCTGAAGACCCTTAAGAGATGACATTACATTTGGAAAAAACATAAAAATTATGCTTGAGAGAGCCAAGTAATAGTAGAGATAGGTGCGTTCCCCACCCATAAAAATGGGGAAAGAAGGTAGTAATGATGATCATCATATACAGTAAAAACTAAAATCCTGCACATCTGCATACCTCATTCTCTTTCTCACCTTACACACACATTGACAAAAATATATATAAATTGATAATCACACGCTTTAGTGTTAATACATACAAAATGCTTGGAGAAATTGACTGGGCAGGCATGGACATTATTTGGGATGGGTTGTATATGAACAAGGGCAACAAAGTGGAAAGCAGTGCTCAAATGAGCCACAGAAACATTAGAAAGAATATTTTTAGTGTCACAGTAGTGAACAAATGAAATGCAGTAAAAGGTAAAGTGGTAGAAGTTTGACTCCATACACAACTTTAAACGCTGATATGACAGATCCCAGAAAACCCTCAAACCCGAACACCAGGTTGTATTTGTAAACACAATTAGGCAAGTACAATCTGATGAGTATAGGTATACTTCTTCTAATGCCTTTGGCCATCAGGCTTATAATATCTAATTTTGCTTACTATGCATATACAGCCAGATACACCATGCTTAGTGGATAATCCCTGAATATAACAAGTCTTGTTATATTTTTTTCTTATTTTTAACTGTTGTGCTAGAGATAATCACATGTAAAACATGACCAACACTTACAGATTCACACCAAAACTAACTAAACAATAAAAAATACTCTACAACTTAATTTAAACTACTCTATACACAATACATATATTAATATAATTTCTTAGCCTATGCCAAGTTAGCATATTTGTATTACATATTATAATAAATATGAGACAAATTTTTTTTAGCACAAAACCAGCGTTGAATGTAATGAAACACCATTTTCTGGGTGAGTCCAGGAGGCTCCCTGGAGCTATACCAGGCTGATATGTATGTATTAGACCATGGCATCAGTCAATTCGAGTGGAGCTCTAGCCTACCAGGGATCATGAGCCAGAACTTGGCCCCCTTCCCCCCCCTCAGAGAGGCACGAGAATCAATAACCTATAGAAACCCCCATGTGGTTGGAAGCATTTTATGTCTGCCATCTACCAAGTTAGGCACCCAGAAAGGTAGGCGTCTCAAAACAGACCCCAACTGGTGAAACAGTAATACCTAAAACTGAACTGCTAAGCAGAACTTCCCAATCTGAAAACAAGCAAACAATCATGTAGTCACATCCACCGCCATGCCACCTATCTGTGTAACTCCCCCATCCCCAGGAGGGGAAAGGGGGAGCCCCAGACCCTGCGCTGGCTATCCACCCTCAGTTCAGAAGCTGAGTGTCAAAAACACAAAACAAACACCGACCGGAGGGAGGGAGGGTTGCTGGGAGCCTCCGTGACTCATCCAGAAAATGGCGTTTCATTACATTCAATGCTGGTTTTCTGTGGAGAGCCCCTCCGGCTTTCCAGAGCTACCTAACCAAAGACAAGTAAAAGAGGGACTTACCCAGGAACCTGCTGCCACTTGTGTCTCAACTCGAAGTCGAGACAATTGGCTGCACCCTGCGACCCAAAGCAACACACACCCAACTAGGGCCAGGAACATTAATAAGGTAACGGGCGGCCAGGACCCTGTTCGACCTCCAAAATCCTCGTGCCCCAATGTCAGCCCAAGACATTACCAAAGATGGCAGCTACAGCAGCAAATTTGGGAACGTAGTGGGCACAAGGATAGACCGCAGGATGGCTGGACTGAATAACCCTGCGGATTATTCCACAGGGTTATTCAACCGGACACAACACATGATGCACCCCCACCAAACCAACCAAGCATCAACAACCCAAAGACCCCTACGGAAAGCGGCCGTCTCATTCTTCACCAGAAAAAAAGGAGTCGGCTGCTAACGAACAAACCTACCACAAGGACCAAAAGAGCAAAAACCTCTGTGTCAGAGGAGAGCATGAAGCTCCCCAACCCAAGCCCCAGAGACCAGTGCCAACAAGAAAAGAGCCTTTTCAAAATAATCCCTCAGTAATAAACTGCTAACTGATGCCCAAAACTATCAAGATAACAAATAAAGCTGAACCCCTGTGGCATGTACAATCACAGGGGCCTAAAGGATGACCACGAGAATACAGTATCTCCGTTTTTCCTCTTCCGGGGGAAGGGGAGCTGTGCAGCCAGGTGGCGCGGCGATGGGTGTGACATCATGCTTGTTTGCTTGTTTTCAGATTGGGGAGTTCTGCTTAGCAGTTCAGTTTAAGGTAATACTGTTTCACCAGTTGGGGTCTGTTTTGGGATGCCTACCTTTCTGGGTGCCTAACTCGGTAGATGCCAGACACAGAATGCTTCCAACCACATGGGGGTTTTTGCTTGTTTTCAGATTGGGGAGTTCTGATTAGCAGTTCAGTTTTAAGTAGTACTGTTTCACCAGTTGCGGTCTGTTTTGAGACGCCTACCTTTCTGGGTGCCTAACCCGGTAGATGCCAGACATAGAATGCTTCCAATCACAGGGGGATTTCTATAAGCCATTGCTCTTCTTGCCTCTCTGAGGGGGCCAGGTTCTGACTCGTGGTCCTTAGTAGGCTAGAACTCCATTTGAATTGACTGATGCCAT